TACATCTACCATTCTCATTTGCCTAATAAAGGTTTTAAACCACCATAGGGGGTTTTGTAGACCTGGAGAAAGTTCCTTTTTGGCTGAACACATTTTCCAAACCACATTTTCTTCCCATGTGAAAAACCTACAAGAAAACAAATTCAAGAGTTTAGCATTATAATGCTGATGAGTACTAGTTGTGTCTCCTGCCTGTCATGCTGGCTGAAGAATTCTGGGACTTGTAGTCCCCAAAAAGTAACTTTTCAGAGCTTTTTGTTGCTGTTGCTGTGTACCTCCAAGTTGTTTCTGACATATGGTGATGCTAAGGCGAACCTATCCTGGGGTTTTCTTGGCAAGATTTGTTCAGAGGAGAGTTGCCATTGATATTCCCTGAGGCTGAGAGTATGTGATTTGCCCAAGGTCACCCAGTGGGTTTCGTAGCAGAGCTAGGAATCGAACCCCGGTCTTCAGAGTTATAGTCCAACGCTCAAACCACTGCACCACACTGGGTCTCAAAACTGTAGGGCTTTGATATGTTTGTTTTCATGGCCAGTGCAGCTACCTCTGCTTTTCAAAATCTGCTTTCCTTTATTTGTTTCTCCTGGCACATGGCCTTTGTGCATGTATGCGCTTGTGCATTATGGTATGCATTTTACATGGGCTTATTTTGCTTTGGGTTTAAATCTCCGCCTCCCCCTGCAACCTGCCCTTTCTTCCAGGCTACCGCACATATTGTTACTACTTGAAAATTGAGGTCAGCCAGTCCCACCCGGTGATGAAAGCCTTTTGCTTGTTGCTCCTCCAACGGAACGACTCCACGGGCCCAAAGTCTCTCCAACTGAGAGAGATGGAAGAAGGTGAGTGAGCATCTCTGTCCCAATCCCTTCCCCAGCATCCTTCTTGGGGGCTGAGCAGAGGAGGTTTTGGATGAAAGCAGGGATGCTGCTAGGCAGATCAGAGAAAGAATGCCTCCCTCGATGTGCTATTTGCTAGAATTGCTGCTGCCTTCTCTGTCTCAGTCGTCATTGGTACCCATCCATGTGGAAGCTGTTTCCTTCATCTATGCATTGAATATTTTTTGTCATCTCTTTTTACATACGTAGATCCTTGTAAAAGAAAAAGGCAGAGGTGGTTGGGGTAGAGCAAAACTGGCACCAGATTCTCTTCTTGTCTTTAGATGCCTTGGAAATGGAAGGCTTCTCAGATACTTAACAGATTATTATTGTTGTGTGGCCTTCAAGTCATTTCTGACTTATGGTGATCCTAAGGTGAACTTATCATGAGGCTTTCTTGGCACGATTTGTTCAGAGGAAGTGTGCTGTTGTCTTCCTCTGAGGCTGAGAGCATGTGACTTGCTCAAGGTCACCCATGGACATCATGGTCATGCTGAGAATCGAACCCTGGCCTCCAGAATCATAGCAAAGATTCAAACCACTATGCCATGACAGCTCTTTCTTAAGAGATACTTAAGGCTTCATTGTTCTGTAGTTCCTACCCTGTCCAAGGCCAACTGTTTCAGCCTTATGCCTAGAAAATCTGGGATGTACTCCCTACCCTTATTCAATGAAATACCCATGTTTGTTTGTTTTCACACAGAATAGAGTGAAGAAATCCAGTAGCACCTCTGAAACAACATGATTAAAAGAAATGTCTAGCATAAGTTTTCTTGGGCTGCATCCGCACTGCAGAAATAATTCTGGTTTGACCCCACTTTAACTGCCATGGCCCTATCCTATGGAATCCTAGTATTTGTAGTTTTGTGACACCAGAGCTTTCTGAGAAGGCTAAATATCTCACAAAACTACAGTTCTCAGAATTCCATAGTATGGAGCCATGGCAGTTAAAGTGGTACCAAACTGGATTATTTCTGCAGTGAGAATGCAGCCATGGACTATAGTTCACTTTTATGCCTAATATCCCAGCAGAATTCAGGGAAAGCATGCAGATCACCTGGTTTCCTACCACCACTATGAGACCTATTAGGTTTCTGTTGAAAGCACACCAGATAGTTCTAAGCTTTTTTTTTTTCCCTAGCTGGGAATCATGCGTTTCCCATCATGTGGGAACGTGGGCCATTTTGAGTCCACTAGAAACTGCCCTTTGTTGTGTACCTTCAGGTCAACTCCAACTTATGGTGATCCTATCATGAGATTTTCTTCGCCAGATTGCCATTGCCTTCCTCTGAGGATGAGAGATTGTGGCTTGTCCATGTGGGTTTCTATGGCTAAGTGTGGATTTGAACCCTGGGCTCTCAGAGTCCTAGTCCAACTCAACCATTGCAACACACTGGCTCTGCCTTGAGCCTCACAGAACAAGCGAGCAAAAATCACTAGGGGGCACAATTTGCCTTTAGAACAGGATGCACTTCTCCGGTCTTTTTCTATCCTAAAAGCACCTCTTCTTTTAATTGAGTTTTCTTTTTCTTTTTTTAAAACTTGAAACAACCTTCTAGACCCTTCTGGTTTCATTTGGAGAGACTGGGACAGCTTCTCAAAAGTCCTAAGGAAAAATGTCCTCTGAAGCCCTGAAAATAGCCCATTCCTGATCTAGAAAATATAAATAAAACTTATTATTATTATTATTATTATTATTATTATTAGATGTAGTATTGGCTAGTGAAGATATACTATTGGCTAGTGACTCCCATCTCAGTGGTGCAGTGAATCCACTATGTCCAGAATCCTGTTGGTGACATACGTATAGTTTACTACACATGATTCACACAGACATATGCCTTGTATTAAGAGGGGAACAAGGGAGTGTACTCTAATCCCTTGTGCCCTGTCCAAAATCTCTCTTCCTTACAGCATTCCTAAAATATGCTTTGCCAACCTCTGTTTAAAGGCCTCCTAAGAAGCCATGGCACGAGGCTTCTTGCAAGATCACAGCTTACCTTTTAATATGAGCTGCAAAGGTGCTCTCCAATGAGCTGAATCCATTTGTGGGGGGAAAGGTTCAGAGTTTTGGATAGCTCCTGTAAAGATCAGGCTAAAACCTGGAGTGGACTAAATGCTCCACTGACATGGGACCCACCAGCCCTTAGTACTTTTTAGATCTGAGGTTCTCATCCTTTGATACTCCTGCTCCCAAAAGCATGGTCAATGAGGATGGATTTTAGGAACTGAAGTCCCAAGACAATGGGAGAACTAAAGGTTGAGAAGCACTGCACAAATCAGCTTGTGAAATCTGTGTCCTTTTTAAAAAAAAATCTGCATTCCAATTTTTAAATCTATGTCTTCTGTTGACAATGTACATTTGGCCCTCTGTATCCATGGATTCCTTATCCACGGAATCAACCATCCATGAAGAGAGAGAGAGAGAGAGAGAGAGAGAAATACAAATTCCAAATTGCAAAACGCAAACCTTGATTTTGCCATTTTGTATAAATCATGCCATTTTACAACACCATTGTATATAATGGGATTTTAGCATCCACAGATTTTGTATCCTTGGGGGGTCCTGAAACCAAACCCCAGTAGATACAAGGACCCACTGTATAAGGGGTCACCCTTATGGGAATGAGGCCACCCTATCTTTGGAGAACTTTCCACTTTCTCTTTGTCCCCTCTTGGGAAAACTGATCTGTCTGGTTTCTCTGGTACGCTTTAAATCCCTCATCAAAGTCTGAATCTCTTTGTTATTTCATTTATTTATCTTTGGCCTGGCAGGGGTCAAGCTCATGAAGACCAAGGACCAGACCTCAAAAACAGCCAAGTGCCAGCAGAACCGGGCTCGGTGGGTCCTGGCATACACCCTCCTCAACAACCCTTCTCTTGTGTCCTACCGGAAAGGAGCGCTTTCAAATGTAACAGCCAATGGGATGAAAACCAACCTTGTTGTGAAGGCTTGATGGCACAAGCCTTACTGGAAACAATGGACTTCATCACTGGGAAGAAGATGTGTGTATTTCCTTATGCTCCTATCCTTGTGTTCTTCTTTCCGTTGTCGTCCTGCTCTTCCATGCACCTTCGGAGGCAGCCTATTTGGCTGGAGAATATAGTGTTTTCCCCTTGAGAAGGGCAGCAGATGAAGCGAACTGCCCGTGGCATGGAGCAAAGGCAAAAGGAGATCACGAAGTTGGCCAAAAGGCAACGTTTTTCGTCTTCTTTTCCTACAGGTTCTTCTTCAGCAAGTGCCTCTTTTTCTTTCTCTGTCTTTTTCACTGTAGTGTATATGAGATCCTTGGCTGTACTGGTCTTGAGAATGTTTAAGTTGCTAGTCCTCTTGGAGTGAAACCTGTTTCCTAAATCTTGATGGCTTGGTTTTATGAGGCAAGAAGGAAGTGTCAATGAGGACAATCCTGGTTTACCATCATGCCATGCATCTGGAATCCAATGGTAAAGCAGCACAGAGGCTGGGACCAAAATAAAAATGGGGATACCTGAAGGATTCAGAAATGTGGACTATGGGATTTCTTTGGTTGTTAAGAGGCATATAATGTAGAAGCAAATGTTCCCTGGATAGACTATCTATCATTTGTTTGTTTTGCATTTTTGAACTCCAGGGTAGGCACTTAAGTTCTGCCCACATGTTTAACAAGACTGACTCCATTTTTCAAAATGGTTGAAAGAGTGAATTGTAAACATAGTGACCCAGACAGTGAAACTTTCAAATGGAGGGTTGGGTAAAATGTTTAAATAAGTTTCAATCTTCAGCTGTTGGTTAAACTTAATATTGACTGATTCCTCATGGAGAATGTTAAAGTATTCTCATGAGTTTCCTGTGGATCTTGGAAATTTTAATTTGCGGTGCTACAGTTCTCATAGTTCCCCACAAAGTATGACTGCCAGCCATGATCGTTGGGGGATTTTGGGAGCTGTAGTCCAAAAAAGTAACTTTCCCAGGCTCCAGATTCTTATGCACCTTTTCTGCTTGATAACCCCCAGGAGGGTTGTGTGCAGTTCTTTTGTTTGCCACCCACACTCCTCTGTATACAGGTCTTGTTATCTTTATTTTAACTTTTTCTCATAACCTGGGAGCTCCTCCTCTCCCTTTTCTTAAACAATTCTTTGATAGTAGGAGCTGAGGAGGTAAGCTCTGGAACCAGCTAAACTAAAGCAATTGTAGAATGCAGAGAGTTGATCTCTTCTGGTGAAAATAATAAATGAAATTGTTACATCCTAGCAGTGAGATGTTTTTTGTCCCACTGTTTGTGTTCTTCTATATCTCTTTCAGTCCTAGTGCCAAAGCAAAATTGGGTTTGAAGATCCAGGGCTGGTGAATCCATGTCAAGGTTTCGTTCAGACTTCTAAAAAATTGTCCAAGGTGCTGAACCAACTCTCCAAACCGGGTTCAGCACCTTGAACAGCTCCTCCATTGTTATCTGAAACCTGCAGTGGATGTATTGCCTCTCCTGCCTAATTCTGGCAAGTGTCCAGGTAAGTAAACCTACACAGGAACCAATAGTGAAAAAGCGAGGCCAGTTCTGGTGTGTCAATGGGAAGCCAAAGTGTGGTTCAGGCAGTTTGAGATCCAAACATAAAAAACAGTCCTCATCAGTGTCCAAAGGT